CCCAAAAAAAAAAAAAAAAAAAAAGAGAAGGAGGCTGAGGAGGAATCTTAACATGCCTGCCTTTCCCTTCTCCATCCCAAACAGCTCCACTTGTATTTGTTATATGTTGGGCTTCCTTGAAATATTTCACGTACCAAAAAAAATTACTTACCATTCACCACGTCCCAAAAAGGGAAAACTTCGAAAATGTCTCCTTAGAGGGGGATACAAAACAGGGCTGAGCCATACTGAGTATGGCCCCTGCAGCTTTCCTTACTTACTCACGCACTTGGATGGCTTTGCGAAGATTTCCAGACTCAAACTTGGAGAAGAACCGTAAGCAGTCAGAAGTGGTGTCTTGCAAAGGCCTGTAATGAAATAGAGAACCTCTGAACATAGGACTTATTGCTATTCTTGGGCACAGTTTATTTAACATTTCTTAGAGATAAGCTTTCTCTTACAGATCTTTAACCCGAATTTTCACTGTGTTGATTTTAGGAGAAGGAATGGATTACTAACTTAAAATATTCTTATGCTCATGCCATTAAAAGGATATTCTATACTCCCACCCCCCTCATTCCACTGATGTTCAAGACCACCTACCAAGGCTCATCTAGACTGAAGACAACTTTATTTATAATATCGCTTGGCTGGATGAGCCTCCGGACATCCTCAAATATTTTGATCCTGGAAAAGAAAATCAGAAACATTTTAAGGGTTGGCCCTCACTCCTTACCCCATTCATCCTATGGTCATGTGGGAAGGGCCTTGGGACTCATCAGAGAATTATGAAAGAAAAATGTAATAATGCTCCAACCTTGAGCTGAATGAGTACAAAAAGCACCACCCCTCCTTCCTTTTCTTCTTTATCAAAAAATAAAACTACACTGAGCAGTAGGAATGTAGGAAGCAGTGATGCCAGATTTTAGTTTTAGGAGGATTCTCTACTCACAGGAGAGTTTTGTCAAGAGCATTTGGGCTGAGGGACTTTGACGTCTCTGGTTGTGTGAATAACCGGGCCCTCTGCACTAAGACAGTTTCGAAGGAGACATTAGGATTGCTGATGGTCTGGGAGGCTCCAATAAGCCTTTGAATTCTTGTGTCATTTATAGTCCTTGGTTCTGTTTGCTCCAGAAGACTATGGTCAATCTTCTCTCTGAGAAACACCAGTATCTGGGAGATTTAAATAAGAGGGAGGAAGGATACCTAAGGGATATTTCAGATTCCCTCCTTGAATTTCTGATCCAGGTCTCTGGGGTGGGGAGGGGTAGGAGAAGGGGGAGGGAAGGTCAAAATGAGGCCTAGACTCAGGGGAAAGATGTCCTGTCCAGTGGGGAGATGTTGCTGGGCCAGCCCCTGTGGTGTGTCTCTCAGGAACTTGAGCATGGAGATAAGGTCAGAGGGGTGAGGTCAGAGATGTCAGCCAGGAGACCAAATGGGAGCAGTTCTTGGGATCCACCACCAATTTGCTGATGAACTTGCTAATAAGTTAAGAAAACTTACTGTTATGCACACTTTGCTCCATAGACTTAGTGTAGGCATACTTAGTATATTTTCTGGGAAAATAGTTTTCTCCTTGAGTTTAGTAATTTTCTTTTTAATCTTGCTATGCCTATCCAAAGGCAAAGCTCCATTTCATGCATCCTGGGAATAATCCATCACACAACGTTTCTTCCCTGCAGGATGCATTTTTTTCCCTTACAATCCTCAGTGATGCAGCAAAACTATTCCCCGAGCCAAGTCAGGTTCTCTAAGGTTGGGACCGTGGGATGGAGGTCCACCACCTCCTCTCATTAACAAGAGATCAGATTCCAATTTGCAGTAACTGAGAAAAGTGATCCCAAATAATCCATACTTGTATTTTCCTGAGAACCTTCCCTTAAGGAATGATCCCAGTATTTGGAGAAACTGGATAATCTTTCCCTTTTGTAGGATTTGCAATGGATACGGGGTAAGGGGTTGCATTAGAATCATCTAAGAAATTCTTTTTGTGGAAACACATGTCTACCACCACCCTACCCTTGGCTCTGAAATGTCCTAGTAGGGAGGCAAGCTTGTAAATTTGGCGAAAATTTCCTTAAGGCTTTTTTTTTTTTTTTTTTTGTGGTACGCGGGCCTCTCAACTGTTGTGGCCTCTCCCATTGCGGAGCACAGGCTCCAGACGCGCAGGCTCAGCGGCCATGGCTCACAGGCCCAGCCGCTCCGCGGCATGTGGGACCTTCCCGGACTGGGGCACGAACCCGTGTCCCCTGCATTGGCAGGCGGACTCTCAACCACTGCGCCACCAGGGAAGCCCTCCTTAAGGCTTTTAACATGCTCCTGACTAATGCTCACTTTCCTGAAGATAACAGAATTATCTGTACAAACCATTCCACCTACAAAAATACTAAAGAAGAAAAAAAATATATAGCTCCCAAGGTAGTAGCACCATCACCTTTGGACTCCACATTTACGTTCCAACATGGACTGGGCAGAGAGAGGTGGACAATGCCCCCAGAAATCAGGAAATGCCATCATTGTGAAGTCAGACACAGATCTGGTTCTTCTAGCTTTGGCCACATAAAGATAGGGGTCATGGAAGGCGATATGCGTCGGATGTGTCTGCAGGAGCTTATCTATTAATTCAGCAGTTTCTCTAGGTCTAGTGGAATTGGAAAAGGAGGCACTTATCCTTGGGCAGGAAATCGCATCTATGTCCCAAGCATCCTCTTTGAAGGACGCCTGAATGTCTGAGATTTCACTTCCAGAAGAACCTATCCCAAGACCATTGGATTGTGCATTTCGGTATGGGTTCATTCCAGGTCCTTTTTTGGAGGTTAGATGTATGTTGGACCTCCCCATCTTCACTCTGCTCAGAAGGGAGGTCTGGACAGGGACTTCTCTTTCTTGTCCCCAGGAGATTTGGTCCTTATTCAAGCAAAGCCCTTTTGGGGAGGCAGCAGTCAGAATGTGGTGGTGACTGGCATACTGAGTCTCGTCAAAGTTCAAACCATCTCCAGGTTTGGACTCCAGTTCCTTCAGGTTAAAAGTGGAAAAGAATACGTCAGTGTTTCTTTCCAAGTAGAGAACACAATCTGAACCCTGTCCTCACTCTCTGGGCACAGAGCTAAGCATAAATTCTGTGCACTGGCAAACTTTTTCCAAGGTCAGTCAAGGAAAGACTAAGCTTCAAGAGTCAAAGAAATAGCAGAATGCTAGAAACGCACACTTGGAAGGGGCATTTGGTGGGTCTAGTATGAGTCTATGCAGTACATGAACGCCTCCTACACACCCCCAATCATTTACAGTCTGGTTGAACGACTCATTTACAGAAACTTCCCTGTATCCCAAGGTGGTTCCTTTTATTTGAGGATCATTCTGATTGTTTAAGAAAAATTCTTTTTTACTCTGAATTAAAATTTCCTTCCCTGAAACATTTACCCACAAATGCCCTTCTGCTTTCTAGAGTGAAATACAATATGTCAGCTCCCTTCTATAAGTGACTTAGCGTGTACCCTTAGATATGGCCAAATTCATGGTTTATTAAGAATCATAAGAAAATAATGGAGGTCCAAAAGCAGGTCTAAATTTTGGTGGGAGCAACAGCAGAAGAAGCAGCAGCAACCAACCACTGGATTAACATGACCAGGTATAAGGTGCTTGATTTGTTTCTGCTAACAAAGAAACCCTAGAATCAGGCTGGTCACCTTCAGAAAGCCATCCCATACAACCATCCCACTCTCACAAGAGAACGATTAAATCACCATGAATTTTCACTTGCTTTCCCAGGACATGAGAGTAAGGCACCTTGCCCACCAGACAACAGGCAGCAATGTGAACCTTCATCCTACCTCCTTCCGAAGTGATGGGTGTCAGATGGTATTGATAGGACCCTTGCATGCATCCTATCTCTGCCACCTTCTCACATTTTTGTTTAGTCTTTTACTTCCCTCTCAGAAAGATCCCAGAAGCAGATTGCTAAAGATGAGCAATGCTTTCCATCTGGAGACCAGTTTGGATTCCCAGGGTCTGCAAAGAACCCATTAGCATCACGGAGGAGTAGAACCACGGCATACATTCTACCTCAAAACTGCAGGACAGCTCAAGACACATCGCCTCATATTGCATCAGTTCCTCTTGAGGTCGATCAAGACCAGGTTTGGAGCTCAGCTTGTTCACATCTGTTTCCAAGTCATCATCCTACAATGGCACATTCAAAAAATATGTTACAATCAGGAGAGCCATCCTGAGAAATATCGAGACAAGCTACAGGTGTGACTTTTCAGAATCCTGGGACACGGTTTCCTTGCCTCCAAGTTATAGTGCTAGCCTAGTCAAGGATAATTTAATACGTAAGGTTGTATTTTTTAAATACTAAGAAAGATTATAATTTTCCTCAGTGTTCATGTTAGTATTTATCAGCCTTCATCATAAATAATTTATGTAAAATGAGATGAACTATGTAAACAATGAAGCACAATACCAAAGAATTGTTTTTATCTCATCACCACTGTCTTTGACATAACTGTAATTGTCGTACGTATTCATGTATCTACCTATTTAGGTCACTCTTTTCACAAACGTTTAATGAGCATCTACTATGAGTGGGCACTCTCCTAGGTACTAAAGACTCATTGATAATTGAACAGACCAAGGTCCATGATTCCATAGAACTTGCCTTCTAGTGAGAAAAGGAAGACAGTAAGAAAGCAAACAAATGAGCAAGGTAACTTCAAACAGTGATAAATGTCATGGGAAGAATGAGAGGTGGTGAAGTAATTGTGAGTGAGGCTGGGGTACAAAGAAGTTAAGGAGGTCACTTTTTTTTTTTTTTCAGTACGTGGGCCTCTCACTGTCGTGCCCTCTCCCGTTGCGGAGCACAGGCTCCGGACACGCAGGCTCAGCGGCCATGGTTCACGGGCCCAGCTGCTCCATGGCATATGGGATCTTCCCGGACCGGGGCACTAACCCGTGTCCCCTGCATCGGCAGGCGGACTCTCAACCACTGCACCACCAGGGAATCCTGGAGGACACATTTTAACAATAACGGCCAACAAGGCAAAGACTTGGGGGAAGAAATTACTAACAGAAAAAGAAAAAAAAAAAAGCAACTTAAATTTGCTTACAGAAAGAAGGTGGCTGAACATACACACATATACAAGAATTTATATATATAACTGAATCACTGTTGTATAACAGAAATTAACACATTATAAATCAATTATACTTCAATAAAATAAATTTAAAAATTTTTTTTAAAAAATAGAAAGTGGCTGAAGCATAAAGAATAAGAGGAAGACTGTAGGAGTCAAGATTCCAGAAGCAGGTATGATGCTGAGCCTTCCAGGCTCTGGGGAGGAGGTCGTAACCTCCTACTAAGCCTTTATCCCTTTGTACATTTAAAAGTTTACCGAGTCACCACCAGCCTTTTCTTCATTGGGCTGAATAATACCAGACCTTTTATTTCTTCTTCTAGATCATCATTTCATCATAGTTTATCAGTGATGGTGACTCTCCTCCAAACACTTCTTTATTTTTCAGAGGTTATAGAATGTCACAGAGAAAGGACATAGTTCAATCTCTTCATCTTTCTGTGCCTCTCCTAGATCAAGTTTCCGTAATGAAATAGCGGGGGAATCCACCCTATATTTTAGGAATCTATTTTGTTAGTTAAGGAAAAACCTGATAGTCCTGAAAGCCTGGCTTATTCTTCCTGAAGTCAAATAAATGTGGAAAATAAATGTTATATTCCTGGGCTTCCCTGGTGGCGCAGTGGTTAAGAATCCGCCTGCCAGTGCAGGGGACATGAGTTTGAGCCCTGGTCCAGGAATATCCCACATGGCGCAGAGCAACTAAGTCTGTGCGCCACAACTACTGAGCCTGTGCTCTAGAGCCTGTGAGCCACAACTACTGAAGCCCGCACACCTAGAACCTGTGCTCCTCAGCAAGAAAAGCCACCACAATGAGAAGCCTGTGCACCACAACGAAGAGTAGCCCCCGCTCACCACAACTAGAGTAAGCCCACACACAGCAACGAAGACCCAACGCAGCCAAAAAAATAAATAAATAAGAGGGTTAACATAAATTTTTAAAAAAATCATTTAAAAAATGTTATATTCCTGATTCAGGGGATAAAGTGCAATATTCCATCCATCTTCTGCAATTTTCCTCCAAGCTTTAAATTAAAAGAAATATAGATCCCATGAGGTTGATATAATGATATTTTCAGATACAGCGCATACCAGGCCCAAACTCCTTAGCCTAATATTGGAGATCCCAACACTTATCCTTTCCAGCTTCATCTGTCAGATCTTCCTTCCTTTCACCATCTCTGCTACAGCCTCAGCCATGCCCCAAGGTGGCACCAATAGAAACGCAACCTGGCAGGCACTGAGAAGCATCTCGCCACCAGCAAGTAAGGCTGGTGCGTCTGGACTGAGGAGCATCAGGTAACCCGTGAGCTTCAGCCTATCTAGGTGACCTACTCAGCCTTAGAGCAGGTGTTAGCAAACTGTAGCCCACTGCTTGTTTTTGTAAATAAAGTTTTATCGGATCACAGTCATGCCCATTCATTTATACACTGCCTGTGATGGCTTTCTCAGTTTAACAGCAAAGTGGAGTACTTGTAACAGAGAACATCTCTGGTCCTCAAAGCTTGAATCTTGGCCTCTGAATCTCCAGGCACTCAAGCAGGTTGTCAACTACTTCTGTATTTTATAAATACCCTTTATATTTATTTAGGAGTGGTCCAGCTTCTCTGTCCTCACAGCAACCCAGAGAACCTTCATCATTTAGGATTTTGGTACCCATCTAACCCAGATAACTCCCTCCCTCCTCAGGTTCGACCCTTCCAATATTGACTTTCCCCAGCCTTAGATTTGAGTTCAACACGTTTTGAAGGTGCCGATTCAAACTCTGGTAGAGACAATCTCCAAGTTTACTAGACTGAATTCTTTGCAGATAGAAACTATGTCTTATTTGCTTTTGTATCATATTAACATCCCTAAGGACTTAGCATGCTGCCTCACATATGGATCACATCCAAGAAAATACCTGAAGGAAATAAAAAGTTCAAGAGGAGGAAAGGAGGGAAGAAAGGAAGGAAGAGCTTGAATTCACCCTTTCTGTCCTCTTCTTCAGAGTCTGTCCAAATCTAATGTTTGTGTTCATTAAGTAAAAAAACAAACAAACATGGCCAACTTCTAGTCTATATTCGTTGTAAGTTTCTCTTTCCTTATGATGACATTCACAGTTTTCAATCAAAGAACAGCACCCAACTATACACTCTCAAGACTCTTTACAGATATCAGTTCCTTTTAATCATTTTTTCTAAGAGGCTTCTCCCAATTGATAACTAAGATTTTCAAAGGAAAAGGCCACAAGTTAAAGGCCTGCGTCCATTCTGTGACCAGAAATAAATGCTCTTGGCTTCTTGCCCACATAACTTGCAGCAAATGCTGCTGGGTTCTCCAGGGGAAAACCAGTTTTCTAGGGTCCCGGTTCCCTGACTCCTGCTATACCCCAGAATCAAGCCCTTACTCTGACGTTCCTCTGTTTCTCTATAATGCATGCTCGCACACTTACTTCTCACCTTCTCCTCAGCTCGAAGGCTCTTGATGAATTATTTCCAGGCCCTCACTTATTTGTCTTATGCTTCCTTCCCAGCTGGATTGATTTATTTGTTTAGATTCCACTCCACCCCAGCCCACCATCATCTGCAGAGTGGGGGTAAGGAGATGGTCTGAAAGCTCTCCCCCAACCCCATGCTGTGCGAAGTCGAGCACCAGCCTGCAGCTTGTCCCTCCACATCAGATACAAGAGGTGACTGATGCTACACATCAAACATTCAGTTATCAAAGAGCCAGCAAGAGGGGTGGGAAAGTGGCACTGATGAATGACTGTAGCAGCACAGTATTATTCAAATAACTCAGCAAGTTCTCCATAGGCCTGCATCGGCAAGTCACAGCAAAGAGCCAATTTGCTACTGATGACTTCAGAAATGATTCTATTTATCAACAAAACCCTGAGCACACCAGAATAGCAACAGCAGCCTCAACCTAGAGACCTGGCTAAGAGGTAGTCCCTCTATGTCTGCTACTACTATTAGCAAGGTGAGTGATTATTATGACAGAGAACGCAAAAAGTCTCTTTCTCCCTAGGCAGATGTGTAGATGGAACAGTATGTATAAAGAAAGGAAGAGAGGGAGGGGGAGAGGAGGATGGATGGATGGACAGTAGATAGATAAATAGACAGGTAGATATATAGATAGATAGATAGATAGATTTTTTAATCCAGATTTCATCTCCAGGAATGTCATAAAAGGTAGCATTTACTTCTCAGTCTTATTTTGCAGATGTCAAAACTAAGGAACTATAACTTGAAGGGACTTGTCCAAGTCGATGTCCACCAACAGAGATGGAGACAGAATTATAACTCATAGATAAATTATCATTATTCTAGAACAGTGGTTCTTAACCACAGGGTGATTTTTGCCCCGCAGGGATATTTGGCAAGTCCTAGAGACAGTTTTGACTCATGACTGGGGTGCAAAGGGGTAGATGTCACCAGCATCTACTGGTGACCTCAGAGGATTGAGGTCAGGAGTGCTGCTAAACATCGTATAATGCACAGGACAACCCCCCATGACAAAGAATTATCCAGCCAAAATGCCAAGGTTTAGAAACCTTTTTCTAGAAATGCTGTCAGTAAACTATGCCCCACTGTCTGCTTTTGTGGAACACGGTCATGCCCTATTGTTTACACATTGTCTATGGTTGCTTTTGTGCTACACCAGCAAAGTTGAGTTGTTGTGACAGAAACTGTATGGTCCACAAAGCGTAGAGTAATGATTATCTGACCTTTCATAGAGAGTTGGCTGATTTCCATTCTATAGCATAGGTTATTATTGATAGAGACCAAAAGGCACCACTTTCTTGCTGGCCAGGATATGCACCATACAACCCAAAGGAACACAGTTCATATAGACTCCAAGGTAAATGGAATTGTACAACGCAGTGGTCCTGTGCATAGATTGGGTAGATACAAAGAGTGACTTATTACAAAGATAGTGGAGATCTACTAGAAAAAGTTTCCTAGGAAATCTTTCCATGGTCTCTTTGCCTGAATATCCTTCACATTCATTAAATACACCAACCCTAAGTGTCTACCTCAGGCTTATCCTGATGGAATATTAGTGCCTTGATAATAGATAGCCTCTGACTTGACGATGGGATTGTACCGGGCCTACCAAGACAAAAATGACAACTTGGAAATCAGTAACAGTAGCCAACATTTAGTCAGCATCAATATCTGCCAGGCCTTAAAGTGGAAATGCAAAAGTCCGTCCTTAAAATTTACCCTGGGCGGGACCTCCCTGGTGGAACAGTGGTTAAGAACCTGCCTGCCAATCCAGGGGACATGGTCCGGGAAGATTTCACAGGCCGCGGAGCAACTAAGCCCATGCACCACAAGTACTGAGCCTGCACTCTAGAACCCGTGAGCCACAACTACTGAGCCCACATGCCACAATTACTGAAGCTCGCATGCCTAGAGCCCATGCCCTGCAACAAGAGAAGCCACCACAATGAGAAGTCCATGCACCACAATGAAGAGTAGCCCCCGCTCACTGCAACTAGAGAAAGCCCACGGGCAGCAACAAAGACCCAAAACAACCAAAAATAAACAAATAAAATTTCTAAAAGAAAAATTTTACCCTGGGCTTAGCTGAACATAGAAAGGGACATTTTCCTTTGTAGAATTATGAATGTAGAGATCATTAGAAGCAAGGGCTAGTGTACCTACTTCCTTTTTCACATCTTCAGAATCTGAGTCTTTGTCCTCTTCTTCCTCGCCATCATCTTCAAAATCTTCTGAGTGGGAAAAAAAGAAAAACAGAGGTGAAATGGATGAGGCTTCCCCTTTGCCTTGGATTGAGATTCTCGCCACCCAACGGTTAGTACTTCCCACAAGTAAGGGGCCATTATTAAGTGTACAGGATCCCAACACACGCTTACACTTATTGGATGAGTAAATCATGCGCACATAGGCACGTGAGAGCACTATATCATGACGTCTAAATTGCTGTCGCACACTGAATGCAAAATGAGTGCAGAATAAAATGACACATGAATACCATTCTGGCTTCCTTCACCCAATGTAGAAGTATTTATGCAACTAACATTGCCAGAGTTTAGTGATCACATATATGCCAAAGCTGTTGTAATGCAGACAGCACTTTGATTGATTCCCTAATTTTAATACGAAGGAACTGATTTTAAACAAAAGTTCACAGAAAGCACCCAGTGTCATTGTGACAAGATGATGCCTATGGAAAATCTGTTCCCTGGAAGGAGGACAAGGTTGAAAAGCACTAGTATCTTCTGACAACAAAATCTTCTCGGAGATTGGATAACCATACTTTCAAGTATTCTAAAATGACTTGCATGGGGTGGAAAAACAGCAAAAGTTTGATTTCAATTTCATCCTTAGGGCAAATTAATTCCAGAACCAGTCTCTATGGTGGAGGGACTCCATCATGGGATTGCAAATAGATTTTTAAAAATCAGCTGAGATGACTCTACAGGCATTCCATAGCTACCAGGCAAAGTGCCAACAGTTAATAATTAAGGACAAAATTAATAAGCTTGGTATTATGAAAAACTAGCTTTCTTATACATGTCTCTAATTACTTATTAGATAATCACAGTTGATCTGTTAAAAAAAATTGATTCTACTTTCATCCACATTCCTCTGAAATATTATCCAAATGCAAAAGTTCATCATAAAGCTCATAACTATGAGCAAAATAAGTACAGAAGAACTACCCACATACTTTACCTTCAGTTAGAACATGTGGAGGTTCAGAGGTGGTGCTCCCAGGGACTGGGAAGGAATAAGCACTGCTGGCTGTGACCAAGGGAAGTGGGCTCTTAGGGTAGCATTGCCTCAGGATCTGAAGCACAAGGGAGATGACAGGCTCCAGACTTTTGTCATCCAGGCAGTTCTGAACAAAGAGAAGATCATATCAGACACTGACATCTTGTGTGGAGCCCCTTTGCTATAATGTTATTTCAAGTAATGGATTACATGCAGCCTAAATGGACAGTAAATATCCTTAATGTAGAACATACAATCTGAACATTCTAATGTAGAATTTTGTCTAACACAGGATCTGCTTTGGTCCAGTGTGTAATCTGCATTTTTATTTCTCTTTTACAGCTAACATATTATTGGAATGAATTTAGTCTGAAAATAGACTTCAGAGACTTTCAAGGGATGCTGCACCTAAGGTAAAACATTGTCCAGAATAGCTGAAGGAAGAGGAGGTAATGGCATCTTCCTTCAACCATCCATGTGTTGTTGTGAATTATTGCCTAAATTAGAGAATGAGTAGCTGAATTGATAGAAGTCTTACTTTTCTCTTTCAGCTATGATCTGGAGAGAAAAATATCAAGGAAGAAGATAAAATATGAAATCAGAAGAAAGATTAAGAGAATCCCAAGTACCTAACTTAAATAACATGCTTCTTCTCAAAGCCCACAGTGGTGATCTCTCTTGGTACCTACATAAAGCAAAGAAAAATTGGGTTTGCAGATGTAACATTTTGATACTGATGGAACATGACAAGACCCTTCTTTTCAGACACTGTGAAAAATGTAAGAACAAGTTTACTAAATTGAGAGACAGAGAGTTGGGAGTAGTCAGTATGTCTTTGGCAAAAATATGGCCATTTTCTGCAGTCTCTTAGTAAATGTTTTGTCTACTGACTTGATACAGAAAGTTGACTAATGTAAGCCTCCACTTTGGTATTCCTAAGGGGTTTCCACTAAGCTCTAAGGCTAATAAGTCATAGTAGGAGATAGGGAGGATGCTTACAATATGCCACAGGGCAGTGACAATTATGCCAGGCATGGTACCTCCAGGCCCACATTATGGGCTACTCCACAGGAAAGAACATGGAGGAAAAACATTTAATAAAATTTAAGCCATGGATTCAAGCTACCCAAATGACTCCAAAGTAAAAAAAATGTAAGCCAACTTTCAAAACAGAAATTTCTTAATAAAATCAACCATGCTATTTCCGAGGAGGAGCTTCAGGATGGTGGAAGAGTAAGAAGTGGAGATCACCTTCCTCCCCACAAATACATCAGAAACACATCTACACGTGCAACAACTCCTACAGAGCACCTACTGAACGCTGGCAGAAGAACTCAGACCTCCCAAAAGGCAAGAAAGTCCCCACATACCTAGGTAGGGCAAAAGAAAAAAGACAACAAAAGAATAGGGACGGGACCTGCACCAGTGGAAGGGAGCCGTGAAGGAGGAAAGGTTTCCACACACTAGGAAGCCCCTTCGCAGGCGGAGACTGCGGGAGGCGGAGGTGGGGAGCTTCGGAGCCGCGGAGAAGAGCACAGCAACAGGGGTGCGGAGGGCAAAGCGGAGAGATTCCCGCACAGAGGATCGGTGCCGACCGGCACTCACCAGCCCGAGAAGCTTGTCTGCTCACCCGCCGGGGTGGGCAGGGGCTGGGAGTGAAAGGTTCGGCTTTGGAGGTCAGATCCCAGGGAGAGGGCTGGCGTTGGCGGCGTGAAGACAGCCTGCAGGGGGTTAGTGGACCACGGCTAGCCGGCAGGGAATCCGGGAAAAGGTCTGGAGCTGCCGAAGAGGCAAGAGACTTTTTCTTGCCTCTTTGTTTCCTGGTGCGCGAGGAGAGGGGATTAACAGCGCTGCTTAAAGGAGCTCCAGAGACGGCGCAAGCCGCAGCTAACAGCACAGATGCCAGAGACGGACTTGAGACGCTAAGGCTGCTGCTGCCGCCACTAAGAAGCCTGTGTGCGAGCACAGGTCACTATCCACACTGCCCTTCTGGGGAGCCTGTGCAGCCCACCACTGCCAGGGTCCCGGGATCCAGGGACAACTTCCCTGGGAGAACGCACAGCACGCCTCAGGCTGGTGCAACGTCATGTCGGCCTCTGCCGCCGCAGACTTGTCCCACATTCCGTACCCCTCCCTCTCCCCGGCCTGAGTGAGACAGAACCCCCTAATCAGCTGCTCCTTTAACCCTGTCCTGTCCGAGCGAAGAAAAGACGCCCTCAGGCAACCTACACACAGAGGCGGGGACAAATCCAAAGCTGAACCCCGGGAGCTGTGCGAAAAAGAAGAGAAAGGGAAATCTCTCCCAGCAGTCTTAGCATCAGCGGATTAAATATCCACAATCAACTTGATGTACCCTGCATCTCTGGAATAACTGAATAGACAACAAATCAACCCAAATTGAGGCGGTGGACTTTGGGAGCAATGATTATATATATATATATATATTTTTTTTTTACCTTTTCTATTTTTCTGAGTGTGTATGTGTATGCTTCTGTGTGTGACTTTGTATAGCTTTGCTTCTACCATTTGTCCTAGGGTTCTGTCTGTCCGTTTTTTGGTGTGTGTGTGTGTGTTTGTTTTTTGGTATACTTTTTAGCACTTGTTATCATTGGTGGATTTTTTTTTTTTTTGGTTTGATTGCTCTCTTCTTTCTTTCTTTTTTTTTATTACTTAAAAATTTTTTAATTTTTAATATTTATTTGCTATTTTTTATTATAATAACTTTCTTTTACTTTCTTTTATTTTATTTTTTCTTTCTTTCTTTCTCTTTTTCTGCCTTTTATTCTGAGCCGTGTGGATGACAGGGTCTTGGTGTTCCGGCCAGGCATCAGGCCTGTGGCCTCTGAGGTGGGAGAGCCGAGTTCAGGACACTGGTCCACCAAAGACCTCCCAGCTCCACATAATATCAAACAGCGAAAATCTCCCAGAAATCTCCATCTCAATGCCAAGACCCAGCACCACTCAATGACCAGCGAGCAACGGTGCTGTACACCCTATGCCAAACAACAAGCACGACAGGAACACAACCCCACACATTAGCGGAGAGGCGGCCTAAAATCATAATAAGGTCACAGACACCCCAAAACACACCACTGGACGCAGACCTGCCGACCAGAAAACCAAGATACAGCCTCATCCACCAGAACACAGGCACTACTCCCCTCCCCTACTTCCCCAGGAAACCTACACAACCGAATTAACCAAACTTAGCCACTGGGGGCAGACACCAAAAACTTAGTCACTGAGGGCAGACACCAAAAACAATGGGAACTATGAACCTGCAGCCTGTGAAAAGGAGACCCCAAACACAGTAAGTTAAGCAAAATAAGAAGACAAAGAAACACACAGCAGATGAAGGAGCAAGATTAAAAACCCACCAGACCTAAAAATGAAGAGGAAATAGGCAGTCTACCTGAAAAAGAATTCAGAATAAGGATAGTAAAGATGATCCAATATCGTGGCAATAGAATGGAGAAAATACAAGAAACGTTTAAAAAGGACCTAGAAGAACTAAAGAGCAAACAAACAATCATGAACAATACAATAAATGAAACTAAAAATTCTCTGGAAGGGATCAATAGCAGAATAACTGAGGCAGAAGAATGGATAAGTGACCTGGAAGATAAAATAGTGGAAATAACTACTGCAGAGCAGAATAAAGAAAAAAGAATGAAAAGAACTGAGGACAGTCTCAGAGACCTCTGGGACAACATTAAAGGCACCAACATTCGAATTATACGGGCCCCAGAAAAAGAAGAGAAAATAAAGGGACTAGACTGAGAAAATATTTGAAGAGATTATAGTTGAAAACTTCCCTAATATGGTAAAGGAAATAATTAATCAAGTCCAGGAAGCACAGAAGAGTCCCATACAGGTTAAATCCAAGGAGAAACATGCCAAGACACATATTAATCAAATTATCAAAAATTAATTACAAGGAAAAAATATTAAAAGCAGCAAGGGAAAAACAACAAATAACATACAAGGGAATCCACATAAGGTTAACAGCTGATCTTTCAGCAGAAACTCTGCAAGCCAAAAGGGTGTGGCAGGACATAATTATTAAGTGATGAAAGGGAAAAACCTACATCCATGATTACACTACCTGGCAAGGATGTCATTCAGATTCAAAGGAGAAATTAAAACCTTTACAGACAAGCAATAGCTAAGAGAATTCAGCAGCACCAAACCAGCATTACAGCAAATGCTAAAGGAACTTCTCGTGGCAGGAACCACAAGAGAAGGAAAAGACCTACAAAAACAACCCCAAGAAAATGGTAATAGGAACATACATATAGATAACTACCTAAAATGTAAATGGATTAAATGCTCAACTAAAAGACATAGAATGGCTGAATGAATACAAAAACAAGACCCATATATGCTGTCTACAAGAGACCCACTTCAGACCTAGGGTCACATACAGATGGAAAGTGAGGGGATGGAAAAAGATATTCCATGCAAAAGAAACTCAAAGGAAAGCTGGAGTAGCAATTCTCATATCAGACTAAATAGACTTTAAAACAAAGACTATTACAAGAGACAAAGAAGGACACTACATAATGATCAAGGGATTAATCCAACAAGAAGATATAAAAATTGTAAATATTTATGCACCCAACATAGGAGCACCTCAATACATAAGGCAATTCTTAACAGCTGTAAAAGGGGAAATGGACAGTAACCCAATCACAGTAGGGGACTTTAACACCCCACTATCACCAATGGACAGATCATCCAAAATGAAAATAAATAAGGGAACACAGGCTTTAAATGATACATAAAACAAGACGGACTTAATTGATATTTATAGGACATTCCATCCAAAATCAACAGAATACACTTTCTTCTCAAATGCTCATGGAACATTCTCCAGGATAGATCACATCTTGGGTCACAAATCAAGCCTTGGTAAATTTAAGAAAATCGAAATCGTATCAAGTATCTTTTCCGACCACAATGGTATGAGAGTAGATATCAATTACAGGAAAAAATCTGTACAAAGTACAAACACATGGAGGCTAAACAATACACTATTTAATAAACAAAGATCACTGAAAAAATCAAACAGGAAATAAAAAAGAACCTAAAAGCAAATGACAATGAAAACATGACAACGCAAAACCT